GACATTGTTTAAACCCCTCCTGGTGCCTGTTTGCAGAGGTGGCTTTCTGGTGGGACCCTCCTGGCAGGTGCTAGGGGCAGTGGAAAGAGCTGGGTGCAATTACCAAGAAACTTATTTCAAAAGAAGAAATGACACCAGCTTGACTCCCAGCCCAGGCCACTGGCCACCTGAGGCAGCTCTGCCCAACCCAATGCAGTACCCTGCAGAGACACCCCAGTGAGATCCAAATTCACTTATTTTAGGCCTGGAGCTGCCTAGCCATGTTTGTGGGGGGCCTGTCTAGGGTCACTGCATCAATTGAGGAGCTGAGGTGATGGTCCCATCTGAGCACTGTGATAATGTGGCTCTGTCATTCCTAGAGATGAGCCAGCTCATGTCGATCTTACTTAGGGTTCTCTGTCTAGCATGGTAATGTGTCATGTAGACATGCCCTCAGAGTCCTCCCTGGGTGCTGCCGAAGGACAAGACTCCCTGACTGACCAGCAAAGAGCCCAGGGACTAAACCCGGATAACTTCTCCAGGAAAAAGATGGAAATGGTGCAGAAAACTCCTGGGAAAGCTGCCATCAGTGAGTCGGCAACATGTGGGGACGCTCCTGCCACCAAGGATGTCTGAGACACAAACAAAATTCTCATATTCCTCCAGGGGCTCTGAGTGGCTGAAGGGACAATCAGCCACTGCCTGCACCCATCCTGCTACCCCAACCCAGGGCTGTCCTCCAGCAGTAGTGAATCCAAATCCTTCTACCCCTGCATTGACTTGGTCTCCAGAGAGGGAGCAGGGCCAGCAGAGTTTTTGGCACAAGGGAGACCACCCTGGCAGCAGTCCCACCTCCTTTTGCCTCCCCCTTCCTCTGCCTCTCTCCCTTACAAACTGCTCTGGGCAGCAGCTGGGTGGGACCAAGGTGATTTTCGCTCAGGCTCCCTTGTGCTTTGTCACCCAGCAGGATGACTGAGTTGCATCATCCCCAAACTAAATACTTAATTAGGCTGAATTAAAAATGCTCCTGATTCTCCACTCCCTGAAACACAGCTGTACCTTGGGCCTGCAGTCTTTCTGCCTCACTGACCCACACACACCACAGAGCAGAGAGCTATCAGCCCCTGGGGCCTCTTTCTGTCCAGTTGAAGTCTCAGGCAACTCTGGGCTGCTCTTCTCCCTGCTCATCAGCACTGTCAGCACTGAGCTCCCTGCTTCAGGCCCTGGGGCTGTCACTGGGATCCAGGAATGGTCCAGGGATGAGGTGATAGGGGACAAGGTTTTCCTAGCCATCTCAACCCTGACACAGCTTCCTGATTTCTTAGGGAGAAACTCTCCTTTCTCTCACGTGTGCACTTGGCCCCAGGATCACATTGTCCAGGCCTGTGGGTCCAATTAGGCAGACAGCCTCTCTGCATTGTGGAAGGTCTGCCAGGTGAGAGTCACTCTAGACAAGCCCTGTCCATGTGCTCTTCTGCTAATACACCTGCTGCTTGCCACTGTGGGGGCCAGGAGCCAGGAGGGAGACTACCCACTGATCTGACCCATGACGGCTCTTCTGTCTGGGGGGAGGGGAGGTGCCAAGCAGAGAAGGAAAGAGGAGCCCATGGCCTGACACTGCCAGCCCTGGCCCAGATGGGTTTGTTCAGGGCTCCCTGCAGTCCCCAGAGGCACAGGTCTGCAGTGCATGTCCCCAGGCACCAGCTGAACCGGATTGTACCCACCTTGTTCAGCTCCCAGGTCTCCATGCACTGGTGCCAAAGCCTCCACCCATGTCTCAGACCCCTCTTGGCACAGTGTAGTGCCCAGGTCCCAGACCCAGAAAAGGA